GGCCCGCCCGCAGCGGGGGGGGCCGGGGGCACCCCTACCTCGCACCCACATCCCCGTCCATGAACCCTGGGGGCTGCAGGACCCCTTACCCCTCACGCACCCTGGGGATGTGGGACTCTTGCACGCCCCTGTGCGCACCCCGGGGCTGCAAGAACACATAGAGGACACAAAGTCTCCCGTGTAGGGTGCACACACGTTCCTCCATTATCATTTCCAAATTCCCTCCTTTTTTTTTATTTCTTTTTTTATTTCCTGCCTGAAACAAAAAGTGGCCAAAGAGCTAGAGTTGCTGTCTCTGGGACACGACGCCTTGGTACCGTGGACACTCACCAAATCCCCCTAAACCCCCCAAATAAAATAAAAGCTACCCTTCAGGAACAAGAGCACAAGAAGGAAATCTCCAGGTGCTGCTGCCAATTTGAAAAGCAGGAACCAAAATCTGGCCTGAAACAGAAAACTTAATTTAAATTTAAAAGCCAGGAAGACCTGTAGCGCAGCTCAGGAAGGTGACAGGGAAGCAGCAGAAAGGCTGTGGCTACAAAGCCCTGCTGTGGCCAGCTGAAAGCCACCCGAAAAGGGTGAAAAAAAGAACCCTTTTATATATTTTTTAAATTTTCCCTGCAGTGCCTGGCCCTGGTTCAGTGCCTCCTGCAATTTTAGCACATCCAAGAGATGTTTTCCCTCACTCAGTTACCAAGCCATGAATAAATCCACCTGTTAAAAGAGGCGGATTAAAGACCTGAATAAGACAAGGTGGCTCATGGCAGCCCAGAGAGCCAGCAAACATCAGCTCTGGGGAGATCCAGCAGCAGATCCAACATTAAGAGCACCTTTCTACCAGCCCTGGTTTATGTGCACATCCAAAGACAGAGCAAAACCCGCTCTGCCCATTGGTAATGGTATCAGAAGCATATCTCTGTTCTCTCCTGCAATTATTGTCCATTTCTGGACATTTCAGAGCAAGCTTATTGCCTTCAGACCAGGTTCTCTGCTGCCCTGAGCATTCACGAAAGGGAGAGGAATATTTCCAAAAGGATTTTTCAAGATGAAACCATGACGTGAAATGAAGTCTTGAAGGAGGTGGCTGATTTTTAACTTTTTTATCCAGGAAATGCATTGCGTGCTGCCACAGAAACAGCAGCCACGAGTCTGCAGCCCCTGCTCCTGCCTCGCTCGCTCCTCACCTCTGTGGTGAGCAAAGCCAAGGCACACACTTGCCTAAAAGAAAGGATTGAAAAACACATAGGAGTGAGCTGCGGCCCACACCATGCTTGAATACAACCTCTGCCCTCCAGCACTGCATCCCACTGACTCTTCCCAGCTCATTTCTGGATTAAACCCCTGCCCTGTCGAGCCGAAAACCCATAAAGTTGATGGCTTGGTAGAGGCTGAGCCAAGCGGATGAGATTGTGAGCCTCGAGGTCTGCAGGGAATCCTGCACCAAGCACCATCTCCTCAATTCTCCAGAAACTCATCCTTGCTGCACGCGTTGCAGGAGACTCCAGCTCACCCTTCTGCCACCAGCTCCATCTTTGCCCATTTTCCTCGGGATAGGTTGCTCAGCTCTGCAGCAGCACCTTCCAGCATTTCTGATGTCACTTCAGCTCTTCAGATTTAATTACACCAGAAACCAGCCGAGATGGCAATGCTGGTGAGCTGTTTCGTGGGAACCAGCCAGCATTTTGGAGGGAATGGTTCCCCCTTTCCAGTTTCACCTCCCTGTACCTCAGTGGGACCATTTGGCAGCCGCATCCCTGCTTCCTGCACTGCAGAGAGCCCCAACCATGAGCCCAGCATCTCCATGTCTTGACTCTTAATACCTTCTGTGTATTTTCACACAAAGCTATGGCCATAATGGTTTTGCTCTTTTGGGCCAAAGTCAAGAAAAAGACTTGTGAGTCTGCAGAGGAACTGCCGGACATCGGGGAGTTATGGAGTACAGAGAGTCGGGAGGTTGCTGGAGGTGCAGGAAAGCATGTGTGAAATCCCACCGAAAACCAGTGCATGCAATCATGAGCTACAGAGGTTTACGGACATCACCCTGCTCCTCTCACATGTGTCACTGTACAGATTTTAATGATGGGAAACAGATAAAACCAGGACAGGAACCCCCTCTTCCCAGAGGAGCATAAATCAACACACGTGACGATCTCTGATGTTGCTGTAATTAGCACCATGGCAAAGCCCATGCAGTAATTAACTTTCTCCCTTCCAAGTAAGGATTTAATAACACACAGTAAAATAAGGCCTGGGGCGATGAAACAAGCAGGGGAAAAAAATACATCAAATTAGACACTTGTGACTCGATAAGGAATTAATTATACCCTGGTCTAATAATAATAATAATACATTGCCTTTAATCTGTCCTTGTGCTCCAGGTGAGGGAGGATGAGCTGGGAAAAGTTGTGTGAAATGTTCCACATTGACCCCAAGGACCAGAGGCTCAACCATGCTGGGATGTGGCTGAGTTACTGCATCAGGCAGAGCTGGGAGGAGAAAATCTAGGACAAAAAAATCCTGGGGTGCTGGGACCTGTCTCAAACCTCACAGTCCTCTGTGATCCTAGCAGGGAATGGCTCTTCCCATGAGGAACTGGAGCTGCTGACAGCCCTAAGCATCTCTCAGGGCAACTGCCACAGTGTGCTGGGGTGTGGGGATGAGAAGAGGGACTGGAGGCTGGAGGAGAGGCTGTGCCCTGTCAAAGGGGGAACAAACTGCAGTGATGGAAGACCCAGTGGTGGTGCTGGTCACCAGGAGTCTCTTGGGGAGGCAAAGAGGCCCTCCCTCCTCTTGGCAGAGTCACTGCAGCACCCAACCCAAAGCAGCAGGTTCAGATAACATCTCGATCGAGAGGCAAAAGTTGAGGGTGACCCAGGAGGATGCGATGCTGCAGTGTCCTCCGTTACAGGACACCGGTGGGGCACCCAAACCCTCCCAGTTGCAGGTGAGGGCCAGGAGCAGCAGGATGCTCTGGGGACTTGGTGTAAGATGAACAAATCAATGCTAGAAAGGGCACAAGGAAGTTTAGAGGAGTTAAAGGGATTATTTTGAAAGTGTATGCATGAACCAATCCCAGCCTGACACGACTTAGCCCTGAATTGAGTCAGGCGTCACCCAGCAGAGCTGAAGGCAGTGGTGTCTTCCTCAGTAGTGGGTAAGGAGAGATGGGGCAACACCTGGGATGGTCACTTGGAGCTGAGTGATCTCCTGGAACAAGCGAGCCCTGGGAAGGTGAGCCATGGGGAACAGAGGACACCACTCTTCCATTGCCACCTCAGAAGCAAGGAGAGCTCAACTGCAAATGTGGGTGGAGGTGGTGCACCTGTGGCTGGGCTCCACCAAGCAGCACCACGTCCACCCTTGATGGGCCCAGACCCCGGAGTCACAAATCCCCTTCCACAAACAGTCCCCAGCCTTCACACATCACTAGTGGAGGAAGAGACTAAGGCCAGTGTGCACATATACATCATGAGCAGCATGTAAGGTCATCCTTGTCACCTCGGGGAGGTTAACAAGTCGTGGCAAGATCCAACCTGGACATCTCCATCACTACATTCCCACCTTGGCTCCTTGCAGAGCAGGCGAGCTCCTGGAAGAGCCCTGCGCAGCTGGGCAGAGGGAGGACATCTCCTCAGCAGCGCCGATTTTTGCCTCTCCCCAGTGCTTGGTGGAAAAAGAGGAGCTGGTGATGTCCTGCTAGCCCCACATGCCAGAGTCTCCCTGGTAAAGCCAAAGGGATGCTTGCCACACAGAGAGGACACAGGGCCCGTCTCAGAGGTACCTTTGAGATCAAGATTGATTTATTTCATTTCCTGCAGTGCATCCCTGCATGTTCCTGTCTCACCCTGGCAGCTCAACCACTCAAAGCCAAGGGGAAGGTGCAAGGACTGTAGAACACCCACTTTTTGAAGAGCATCTGAAGCCTGTGTGGCATTTTTGAGGACACTCTTCCTGGAGAAGAGAGCTCCAGGCCATCCCTTCTGCCAGACTCAGGGGTCTGGACCAGCTGGGACAGAGACCAGCAGACTCCAGTCACAACAAACCCTTCTGGTGGGGTTTTGACTGCTCTTCCCAGGCCACAGAGCTTCCTAAATATGGGCACTGTAACAAGGGACAAAATCCAGCCCTGAAATCATCACCAGCCACAGGCAGGCACAATGAAGTTCACCAAAGACAGACAGGTAGGACATATTTTATAGCATGATCCCATCTGCCCCAAGCTTTTTTGCCCCGAGCCCTCTTGGAATTGACTCCACCTGATGTTATCTGCCTCTTGCTACAGCTTAGCCCAAGTCAAAGAAATAAATTACTCAATTACTAGAAAATCCAGTAAGACTGAATGCAGAATTAGCCTCATTAAAGCACAGAGCAAGTAGTGGCAGCATCAGCATTTTTGTTTCTTGGTCTCTTTCCTTGCCCTGCCTTTGGCAGTGTGTCCTCATGCAGGGACTCTGCACAGGGGATCCCATATGGTCACCTGTGTCACTTGGTGAGGCCCTGGAAGTTGGGCTCTGTACACGGGGGCAGCGCTGCCTGCCGGCTCAGCAGCTTGTCTAGGATGTTTATTTCAGCATCTCGTCTCTCAATGTCCTCAAAGGGAGTCCAGGACATGTCGTGTTGGAGCTTATAGGCACCGAGAAATTCATGGGGACTGGTCCCCCATTCCTGGAAGAGAAAGAAGAGATTCATATTGCTGCTCAGTTTCCCTTGGAGCAGGGCTGTGCTGTCCCTCAGCCCAGCCTCTGCCAATGCTGGACAGCTTTGAAGCAGTCCCAGCTACGTGACCATCCCATTTTCTAACTGAAAAATAGGCTCAGCTACCTCAAGTCTAAGACCAGGTCAAGCTACGGGGCTGCTGACACAGGGAGGCTTGGAGATACACGATCTCCCTGATGTGCACATAGCTCTTCTACCTTCCCAGGACTTTTCTGTGAAGCCTTCACCCTGCACATAAGAGAACAGGTGGCCTGGAAGGAGGATACCTCAAGACCAGCCCCATCAAGCTGCAGACAAACTCGCTCCCTGGACTGAAGCCCCTGAGAAGACCACATTGCCAGACAGCCACACCAAAGCAAGGCCCAAGGCATATTTGCAGTTCATTACTTGCAGAGAAAGAACAGCAGGGACCCAAAAGCAGAATTCAGGTCCACGCACCAAAGGTCATCTTGCCCATCATCCACCAAGATCCAAGAGAACTTTGTAACATGGCTCTTACACGGGCAGGATAACTCAGACCAAGGACAGATGCCAACCCCTTGCTCGCCAACAAATGTCTCATCAGGTTGGTGCTTTTGTCTGAGCTCCAGAAGTGCCCAAGCACCAGAAATGTGGGGGTTTTTCCTCTCCCTGCTTCCTCAGGGGTTGTTACCACCCACCTTGGGAGAGAGGATGGAGAAGTATCGTTGGCCGCTCTCCCGCCTGTACATGTAGTAAATGTTTCCTGGCTTCTTCACAAGGTTGCAGGCCACATGGTGCAGATCAGCATCTCTGTTAGCTTCGTCCAAGACCTGAAAATCAAATTTTAAATTTCCACCCTTGACACAAACTGACAGCACGCTACTGCCTCTCAGCCAGAGCCCAAGATACACGGCTCAACATATGACTGGCTTCATATGGCACATCTTTACCTGCCCCAAGAAGGAGATAATTTCCAAAGACAGAAAGTTTTCTCGAAGTTTCCCATCAGCTGGACCGCAGAGCTCTTGCACTCCTCCACAGAGGTGGAAATACCTCCAAGCATCAAGAAGCTCTTCCCCACAGCCCCAGGTTCACCTCTGTGCCTGACCCCACCATGTGCTGGACTCGTTCCTTGTCTCCATACACAGCTGCCGGACCATGGGGGCTTCCCTGCTGCGGACCTCCAGGGACAGGACAGCGAACAAAGGGGAATTCATGTCCCTGGCTCCACCAGCTGACAGCTCCACAGCTCCAGCTCCACCAGTTAACGATTATATGACATAGTGGCCTTGGTGGCAACAGGCCAGTTGCAGTGACTGGCAGATCCTTTCCCACTCAAGCTCCAAGATTTCACCCCCAGGGGTGAATTCTGCATTGTCAAGGACGGCCCAGGACAAGCCACTGGCCTTGCTGCCAGAGCCAGCTGCTTCAGCAAATGAGCTGGGACAAAGTGGGAAGCCAAGCCCATCATCACGTAACAGCTCATCTTCCCCCAGAGGCTCAGATCCAGCCAGAGCCACGTCATCACACCACTGCTCCGAATCCTCCCAGGAGCACAGCGCACACACACGATACAGTGACAGGAGTCATCTGTCCCAAACCTGGAATCATCTCTGCGCCCTTGCTGACACCCAAGTTGCTTTTGCCTGGCCACCCTCACTCCTCCACCTTAAGAGAAGTCCTCCTTGATGGGCAGAGTTCTCAGGGAAAGCACTGAAAACATCCGCCCCCATCCCCAGCTGATACCAGACAATAAATCCTCATTATTGTCCCACTGACTCTTCTCTAATTGGCACCCAGCCATGATTCACATCCAGGCCACAGCTCTTCCCATGCGCCTGGCAGCTCAGACACTGATCTCGCTCCCCTCGCCAGCACAAGGCAATAAGCCTGTGCCCAATGTACATCCTCACCTTTCGTGCTTGCTCCTGCAAGTACCGGATCTGCTCAGCAATGACGGTCAATTTATTGCAGGCGTTTGCTCGGATGAAGTCGTCCGCCTGCAAGGAAGAATGAGGTTTGGTCAGGACAAGGAAAAGCCGTGGCACTCGGCCCTCGCCACACGGCTGTAATGGGCCATGAGCGGTGCAGGAGCTGCCCTGCATGGAGCTGAAGGCAGCCATGGCACCCCCACGTGGTGAGTGACAGCCATGGAGCAGGGACCAGGCACTGCGAGCTGCCTGGACATGCTGGGTGGCAGTGGAAGGTAGCGGTAGGACATACTGGGAGGCACAGGGAGACTGGGAAGTAGTGGGATGCACTGGGAGGAGGCAGTAGGACTTACAGAGTGGCACTTAGGTGGACTGGGAAGCTCTAGGGGACATAATGCACTACGATGTAGTACTGGAAGGCAGTAGAGTGTACTAGGAGGCACTGAGGTGATAGTAGAACATACTGGGAGGCACTGGGAAGGGCAGTCGGACATATCAGAAGGAACTGGAGTGGGCTGAGGGACTGGGATGGACTGGGAATCACTGAAAGGGGAACAGGGCATACCAGGAGGTGCTGGGATGGACTGGGAGCACCTGTAGGATGTAGGATGCACCTGGACACACTGGGGTGGATTAAAGGCAGTGGGACGTACTGGGAGGCAGTAGGGCATACTGGGATGTTCTGGGACTCACTGGGGGGGGGCAGCAAGAGCGGGAGGCACCGAAGTGCACTGGGAGCTCCTGGAGGGCACAGTGTGGTCCACTGGAAAACAAGGGACGGCATTGGGGCACACTGGGAGGGAGCAGCGAGATATGGTACGGGGCACTGCGGACCACACCGAGAGGCTGCCGGAGATACCGGAGCGCAGCGGAACGTCCCCCGCGAGGCCCAGAGGCCGCC